ACACGCCCTCTCCCCCACTCGCACCAGCTAGGCACACGCCCTCTCTCCCCACTCACACCAGTCAGGCACACGCCCTCTCTCCCCACTCACACCAGCCAGGCACACGCACTCTCCCAACCCACACCAGCCAGGTACTCACCCTGTCCCCACTCACACCAGCCAGGCACACGCCCTCTCCCCCACTCACACCAGCCAGGCACACGCCCTGTCCCCAGTCACACCAGACAGGCACACGCCCTGTCCCCACTCACACTAGCCAGGCACACACCCTCTCCCCACTCACACCAGCCAGGCACACGCCCTCTCCCCCACTCACACCAGTCATGCACACACCCTCTCCCCACTCACAGCCACGCACACGTCCTCTCCCCCACTCACACCAGCCATGCATACGCCCTCTCCCCCACTCACACCAGCCAGGCACACGCCCTCTCCCTACTCACACCAGCCAGGCACTACCCCTCCCCCACTCACACCAGCCAGGCACACGCCCTCTCCCCACTCACACCAGCCAGGCACACGCCCTCTCCCCCACTCCTGCCATGCATACACCCTCTCCCCACTCCAGTCAGGCACACGCCCTCTCTCTCCACTCACACCAGCCAGGCACACGCCCTCTCCCAACCCACACCAGCCAGGTACTCACCCTGTCCCCACTCACACCAGCCAGGCACACGCCCTCTCCCCATTCACACCAGCCAGGCACACGCCCTCTCCCAACCCACACCAGCCAGGTACTCACCCTGTCCCCACTCACACCAGCCAGGCACACGCCCTCTCCCCACACACCAGCCAAGCACACGCCCTCTCCCCCACTCACACCAGCCAGGCACACGCCCTCTCCCCACCCGCCATGCATAACCCACCAGTCAGGCACACCCCCGTCTCCACTCACACCAGCAGGCACACGCCCTCTCCACCCACACCAGTATCCTCTGTCCCCCACTCACACCAGCCAGGCACACGCCCTCTCCCCCATTCACACCAGCCAGGCACACGCCCCTCCCCACCCACACCAGCCAGGACCACCCTTCCCCACTCACACCTGCCAGGCACACGCCTCCCCCACGCACACCATAGGCACACGCCCTCCTCCCCCACTCCACCAGCCAGGCACACGCCCTCTCCCCCCACTCACACCAGCCAGGCACTCACCGTCTCCACTCACACCAGCTAGGCACACGCCCTCTCCCCCACTCACACCAGCCAGGCACACGCCCTCTCCCCACACTCATACCAGCCAGGCACACGCCCTCTCCCCCACTCACACCAGCCAGGCACACGCTCTCTCCCCACTCACACCAGCCAGGCACTCACCGTCTCCACTCACACCAGCTAGGCACACGCCCTCTCTCCCACTCGCACCAGCTAGGCACACGCCCTCTCCCCCACTCACACCAGCCAGGCACACGCCCTCTCCCCACACTCATACCAGCCAGGCACACGCCCTCTCCCCCACTCACACCAGCCAGGCACACGCCCTCTCCCCCGCTCACATTACACTCAAACATAACGAGGTTAACCAACACTTCACGAGTTGCGGTGAATGTGTTTGCGATGCTCACGTTTTTTTCTGATTATCAGAGGAATCTCGGTCGTAAACGCTTCCTTTTATGAAGTGGAGTGCGTTAATTAGTAGATGGGGGAGTGTGTTGGTTCCCTGGCTCACATGACGAGGTGTGTGTGTGTCAGGGCAGGATTGAGGCAGCACCAAGAATGCTCGCTCGATGGTACCTAGGTTTTTCTTGTAAATTTTTGTAGACCATTAGGGCAGTATTGGACAGTGGTGTTCATCCTGTGAGTGAACACACCACCATTAAGACAGTATTGGACAGTGGTGTTCATGCTGTGAGTGAACACACCACCATTAAGACAGTATTGGACAGTGGTGTTCATCCTGTGAGTGAACACACCGCCATTAAGACAGTATAGGACAGTGGTGTTCATCCTGTGAGTGAACACACCGCCATTAAGACAGTATAGGACAGTGGTGTTCATGCTGTGAGTGAACACACCGCCATTAAGACAGTATAGGACAGTGGTGTTTATCCTGTGAGTGAACACACCACCATTAAGACAGTATAGGACAGTGGTGTTCATGCTGTGAGTGAACACACCACCATTAAGACAGTATAGGACAGTGGTGTTCATGCTGTGAGTGAACACACCACCATTAAGACAGTATTGGACAGTGGTGTTCATGCTGTGAGTGAACACACCACCATTAAGACAGTATAGGACAGTGGTGTTCATGCTGTGAGTGAACACACCGCCATTAAGACAGTATGGACATGGTGTTCATGCTGTGAGTGAACACACCACCATTAAGACAGTATAGGACAGTGGTGTTCATCCTGTGAGTGAACACACCACCATTAAGACAGTATAGGACAGTGGTGTTCATGCTGTGAGTGAACACACCACCATTAAGACAGTATAGGACAGTGGTGTTCATGCTGTGAGTGAACACACCACCATTAAGACAGTATAGGACAGTGGGTGTTCATGCTGTGAGTGAACACACCACCATTAAGACAGTATTAGACAGTGGTGTTCATGCTGTGAGTGAACACACCACCATAAGACGTATTGCTCCA